CCAAACTGAGGTCCCCGTGACCATTTCATCCCTGTTACCTCTTTACGAAGCAATTCATTTTTTTCCTCTATGCGTTGTGCAATTTCCATGATCTCCCCTAACCCCGAAGGTTTCAACAATCTCAGTTCAGCCCGAACTTCAGCTCTGAGCCCATTGATGAAGATTCCCTCCAAGATTTCCTCGGGTACGTCCTTTAGTGGGGCTGCCGTAATCTCGAACCTCCGGCGGTAATTGGCCACAGTGCCCCCTTGCCTAATCGCCAAAAATTTTTCGCATAAGCTCCCTTCCTGCAACGAACGGAAACGCTGTAACAAGGCCATCTTAAACTCCGTCCAGTTGAAAAAAGGCCTCCTCCCATTCTGCCATTGAAACCATGACAGGGCTTCACTCTCTAAAGCTATCCCTGCCGTGATCAATTTCTCCCTCTCTGAGCAACGGTTAATTGCAAAGAACTGCTCCATTCTAAACACCCAACCGTCGGCGGTTGGCCACCCATTCCTCATCCTCAATGTCATCTTCCCGTATTCCCACGTTCCTTCTCACATCTCTATTTCCCCCTTCCCCGTGCAGAAAACCAGCCCTAGGAACATCCCGTCGGGGTTCCTCTCTCGTTCCCCCTCGCCACGCCTCTCCACCGTTCCCGCGAGCACAGTTCCACCCGCCCAAACCTCCGCCGTTCCTTCGTATCCCCTCCTCACCAATAGCGCCCCACCAGTCGCCCCTGTACCCATAGGATTCCCCCCTACGATTTCCCATTGGTACCTCTCGATCTCCGCTGTACCTCGGATTTTCCTCCCTTGCGATCTCCCGACCTAATTCTCGCGGCCCCCTTCGATCCCCTACGCGAATCGCCCCACTCGTTCCCATCGCGACTTCAGGTCGATTCTCCACCGCCGCTCCGGCGTTACTCGTTGCTTCTTCGCCATCCACCGCCACTGTCTTCACCTTCTCCGGCGCCGGTACGGTTTCGGACGTTTTCTTGACGTATTCTTCCCAGATTCGACGGAAATCGGCCAGGCTCTGAATCATCTCAGCCTTAACCTCGCCTACCTCCTTCGTCATCGTGATAGGTTCCTGCCCAGATTTCCAGTTATCACAGCCAATATTGAGATAAATCCAACGTTAACAAGTTTTATTGATAATTTCTAATCTTCCCTCTCGATCGAGAGAAGTTCTTTCTTACACGATTAAACCAAATAGCAAGAAAAAGAGAAGAAAAACTAGCAAATAGAATGGCAGAAATGGAACGTGGAGAATTCGAGGTTCTCCGTCCTCCAATGGTCCAGAATTCTTCCAAATATCTCGACCCTCTTCCCAAGGCTCTTCCTCGGCTCAAATACTCCCCGCACTCCCTTCACGCAACCAACTTGCCACGCTGGCACTTCCTTCACGTTGCCTCGCTGGAACACTTTCAGTATTTCCACCTTCCTCCCCTCTTCTCAGCATATTACCCTTTGGGCCCCTTTTCCTAGAGTAGACCAATCTAATAGGTGGCCTAACAGGTATCCCGCTGTAGGGTATACCCTTTGGGAGTAGAAGTGCCCTGGAGCAAGGAATTACAACTGCCCGGGAAGAGGCTGCACCTGCGTCATGTGACCCTTGAAGGGCTTCAGCTGAGACACGTGGAAAACAGGGTGAAGGTGCGCCTCGGCCGGCAATATCAAGCGATAAGCCACTGGTCCAATCCTGTCCAAGATCTCAAATGGTCCATAAAACCGCGGGGCAAGCTTCTCGTTAACCCGGCGGGCAAGTGTCCTAAGTCGATAAGGCCGGAGCTCAAGTAAAACCAAATCTCCCCCCTCAAAATTCAGCTCCCGGCGATGCGAATCAGCGAACTTCTTCATGCGTTGTTGAGCTAACGAAAGGTGAGATTTTAGGAGATCCAACATCTCATTCCTTAGGGCCAGCTGAGCTTCCACTGCCTCTACAGTGCCCGGGGAGTCAGAAAAACGGAACAAGGCAAGGGTATCGCAGCCATAGACAATTCGAAAAGGAGTGAACTTGGTGGATGCATTGAAGGTAGTGTTGAACCAGTATTCGGCCCACGGAATAAAGGTCGACCATTGTCGAGGCTTGTCGCCCGCAAAGCACCGCAGATACGTCTCTAAGCACCGGTTGACGACCTCGGTTTGGCCATCGGTCTGCGGGTGGTACGCCGAACTGGCACACAACTTAGTTCCCTATAATTTGAAGAGCTCACGCCAAAATCCGCTCATGAAAATTGCATCCCTATCCAGCTGAGCTTCCACTGCCTCTACAGTGCCCGGGGAGTCAGAAAAACGGAACAAGGCAAGGGTATCGCAGCCATAGACAATTCGAAAAGGAGTGAACTTGGTGGATGCATT